TCACTGCCTGCGCAAGTTTCCTTCAAAGTCTGCAGCTGTTGGCAAACCGAAAAAGAATTTTCTTTTTTTTCTTCTTCGCAAAATTTCCCGCAAGTCTTTCGCGCCTTTTCCGAGTTCGGAAACTCCAACGCGCAGCACCTGCTGCAGAAATGCTCCCCGCTGCTGCTGCTGCTGCTGCTGCTGCTGCTGCTGCTGCTGCTGCTGCTGCTGCTGCAGGCGTGGATCCTGCGGGAGTTGGAGTTAGTAGCATCTCAGCAGCCCCCAATTGTAATTAATTTAATTTAATTAATTTAATTTAATTATTTATTTATTTATTTATTTATTTATTTATTTATTTATTTTATTTTCAATAAAGGTCACCTCGCGGGCCACGAGGCCGCCCCGACGCAGCGCCGCAGCCCCAGCGGCAGCTGCTGGAAGTCGGGCAGCTGCTGGGGGGGAGGGAGGGGCTCGTTTGCGGGATGCTGCAGCACTTGGAAGTGAATTTGAATTCAAATTTAAATTTAAATTCAACTTTAAGTTCAAATTTGAATTTAAATTCAAATTTAAGTTCAAATTTGAACTTAAATTCAAATTTAAATTCAAATTTAAATTCAAATTTGAACTTAAATTTGAATTTAAGTTCAAATTTAAATTCAAATTTGAACTTAAATTTGAATTTAAGTTCAAATTTGAACTTAAATTTGAATTTGAATTTGAATTTGAATTTAAATTTGAGCTTAAATTTGACTTTGAACTCAATTTTGAACTTAAATTTGAACTTAAATTCAAATTTGAACTCAAATTTGAATTTAAATTTGAATTTAAATTTGAATTTGAATTTAAATTTGAATTTAAATTTAAATTTGAATTAAAAACTGCGGAGATTCACCAAAAGAATCTCCGAAAATGCAACTCCGGCGCACTGCCAGCTGGCGAGCGCGACGGTGCCGCCGACGGTGCCTGGGGTGTACGGACAGCGTGGAAAGCGGTGGAAACTGAGCTTTAATTGTTTTTAATTGTTTTAAATTGATTTAAATTGCTTTAAATTGATTTTAATTGTTTTTAATTGTTTTAAATGGTTTTAAATTGTTTTAAATTGTGTTAAATGGTTTTAAATTGATTTAAATTGAGTTAATTCATGATTTGAACGGCACTTGGCGCGGTTTCGAGACGCACCGTCGCTCCGGGCGATGCTGAACACCGGCAGCGCGGCGCTGCTGCTGCTGCTGCCGCTGCTGCTGCTGCTGCTGCCGCTGCTGCTGCTGCTGCTGCTGCTGCTGCTGCTGCTGCTGCTGCGGACGACCACGCGGTCTGCGGAGAAGTTGAGCTTGATGGAGTTCCAAGTCCCCATCTTGAAGCCCCACAAGCCGGACTTGGCCACAGTGCTGAAGACCCCGCGGACTCTTTTGCGAATTCGCGCGAAGTCCGCAGCCATTTCGAACAAAAAGTAATTCTCTTTGTCCACCAAGTTGAAGGCCGCCCCCACAACTCCTGAGCATTTATATATATATATTATATATATGTCTCCATTTATTTTTATTTCTGTTTTATTTTATTTTACTTTTATTTTTTATTTTACTTTTATTTTTTATTTTACTTTTATTTTTATTTTATTTTACTTTTATTTTTATTTTATTTTACTTTCATTTTTATTTTATTTTATTTTTATTTATCTCACCGTCACACTGAGGAAAGAAGTTGAAAGAGAACTGCCCCTCGTCACAAGAGCGATGGCGAGCGAGGGCCAGCACTGCGGGCTCCTGCGAGAATTAAATGAGCAATTGAAGGCTTAGGGTTTAGGGTTTAGGGTTTAGGGTTTAGGGTTTAGGGTTTAGGGTTTAGGGTTTAGGGTTTGGAGATGCTCACTTTGTCTTTCTCTCCGCCCGCTGCTGCCTGCGGCGCCGCAGATCAGCAAATTGGAAGCAGCAAATTGAATTTTTTAAAAGTCCCAAATGAATGAAATAATTTAATTTAATTTAATTTAATTTAATTCAATTCAATTTAATTTAATTCAATTTAATTTAATTTAATTTAATTTAATTTTCACCATTTGCGCAATGGTCTTGTGCTGCCCCCCAATGTCTGCCGCGTGCCGCCAGTGCGAAGGAGTGCTGCTGGAGTCGGGATCGATTGCGTGCCAGTCATCGGAGACTTGCCCCACAAACTGCAGCAAAAATAATAAATAAATAAATAAATAAATAATAAATAAATAAATAAATAAAGTGAAGAAAGCAGCAGCAGCAGCAGCAGCAGCAGCAGCAGCAGCAACAGCAGCAGCAGCACTATTCACAAGTGGCTCCCCAAACGCATGCAGAAAGAATTTGAATTTAAAGTCGACTCACGGATTCCCTGTAGGTGCTGCAGACGGGGGGATAGGGAGGCAGCAAAGGCTGCTCGCTGCTGCTGCTGCTGCTGCTGCTGCTGCTGCTGCTGCTGCTGCATGGAATGGGCTTTATGGTGAGGCCTCGGAAGCAGGCGGAGTTGACGGCGCTGGTGTAGAAGGCGAGCGAGCCGGAAGCAAAAGAGCCGTCGAGGACATCGATGTCTGCAGCAGCAGCTGCGCCTGCAGCAAGGCCCGCAGCAGCAGCAGCAGCAGCTGCTGCTGCAGCAGCAGGCGCAGCAGCAGCAGCAGCAGCCTCCGGGACCTCCGCCACTGCTATTGAAATCCGCTGCTGCACCTTCCGCAGCCTTATGCTGTACCACTGGTCCTCCAGAAAGCCCCCGTCTTCAACTCTTGCTGCTTCCGTGGGGGCGCCGTTGACGATGCGCAGCAGCCGTTTGAAGCCGCCGTTGCTGCGCTGCAGCAGCAGCAGCAGCAGCAGCAGCAGCAAAGCGTGCAGGCGTTGCAAGAGCCGCAAGTTCAGAGTTTTCTTGCCTTTTGCATCTCGAAAAGAAACATGTTGCGGGGGTCTTTGACGTGGAAAGCCACGCCCACCGAGCCCGCCCCCGAGGCTCGGACTTGGCCGGAAAACTCGAAATTGAAAAACTCCTTTTCTTTCAAAATTGCAAAAGTGCCGGCGCCTGCAGTGTTGGGGAGTTGGGGGGAAATGGGGGAGGCCTGGCAGAGGGCGTGTTGGCTGTCGGGGGGGCCGCGCGTGGCCGCGATCTTCCACTTGCTGCTGCCTGGCTCGGGATTTTGCAATAAAATTCCGTTTTAAATCCATTTAAATTGCATTTAAAGTCAAATTTGAAGTTTATTTTGCTTTTAAAAACAAAAAATGACACAAACGCACCCACTGTCAGCTTCGAGTTGAAGATCTGAAACACCTCCGCCACCGGCAAGCTCTTCGCCGCCTCCAGACTCCACGGGTCGGCGGCGGACTGCGCGGCTCTTTTCCGGAGGTTCTTTGCAAAAGAATTCAATTTTCCAATTTCAAAAAGTCTTTCGAACTTTAATTCAACTTTAATTCAACTTTAATTCAACTTTAATTCAACTTTAATTCAACTTCAACTTTAATTCAACTTTAATTCAACTTCAATTCAACTTCAATTCAACTTTAATTCATTCAACTTCAATTCAACTTTAATTCAACTTTAATTCAACTTCAATTCAACTTTAATTCAACTTTAATTCAACTTTAATTCAACTTTAATTCATTCAACTTTAATTCAACATTAATTCAACTTTAATTCAACTTTAATTCAATTTTAATTCAACTTTAATTCAAATCCGTCTTCAGTTTCCGCTCACTGCCTGCAGTTCCGCGGAGCTCGCCTCGAGGGCCTGCGACACTTTGCCCGAGACTCGCTGGAGGCGAGCCTCGAGCTGCTCGGCCTCTCCGAGGGTTTCTTTTGCCGCGATCTGCAGTTAAATGCATCAAATTTTGAATTTAATTCGAAATAAATTTAAATTTAATTCGAAATAAATTTCAATTTAATTCAAAATAAACAAAAAAAAGAAAAAAAACGGAAAATGAACGAAAACTCCCAAGTGACCTCCCGCACACCTCGAGCCGCTGCTGCATGCGCTCCGCAGGCTTCAGCTGCGCGCGCGCGCCGGAGATCACCTGGAGTTGAAATGCGGAATTGAAGCATTAAAAGTTGAAAAGAATTCAAAATTAAAGAATTTAAAATCAAAAAGAATTTAAAACTAATTCAAAAGAATTCAAAACTAAAAAGAATTCCAACTGAAACCCCCGAACTCGCCTTCGTCGCCTCCAACTTCACCGCCTCCACCACTCCAGAGTCCAGGCCGCCCAGCTGCTGCGACAAAATCAAAGACAGCTCATTTATTGCAACTGTTGTTGCTTCGTTCAAGTCTTCCGCCACAGTTGCTGCTGCTCGCGCTGCAGCAGACGAGCCAGCAGCAGCAGCAGGCGCTGCTGCTGCAGCAGCAGGCGCTGCTGCTGCAGCAGGCGCTGCTGCTGCTGCTGCGGGCGCTGCTGCTGCTGCGGAGGAAAGCGGGGCTGCCCCTGCTGCAGCTGCGGGTGCTGCTGCTGCAGCAGGTGCTGCTGCTGCTCCTGCAGCGGGGGCTACAAGCCGCGAAGTTGCTGCTGCAGCAGCTGGCGGAAAGGCTGGGCTAGTTGATGGAGTCGGAGACACAGGCGGGGGAGCGTGCAGCTCCAGAAAGCTGCTGCTGCTGCTGCTGCTGCTGCTGCTGGGAGTGCCGACTCCGCTGCTGCCGCTGGCAGTCCCACCTGCGGTGCTGACGCCGCTGCTGCTGCTGCTGCTGCTGCTGCTGCTGCTGCTGCTGCTGCTGCTGCTGCTGCTGGTTTGCGCGTCGTCGAGGGGGCACTGCTTGGTTGCGGGCTCGACAGTGAAGGCCCTGACCCTTTGGGGCCCCAAGCGGCTGCTGGAGAGAACTCCGTTTGCGTCGGAGCCCTCGAACTCCGCAGCAGCAGCAACAATTCGAACTGCTGCTGCTGCTGCTGCTGCTGCTGCTGCTCTGCTGCTGACTCCGGCGTGAAGCGCTGCTGCGCAGATCGCGCTGTCCGCCGCGTACACCCCAGCTTCCCCGCCGACGAGCCTGGCCTCCCCGGCTGATCTCGCGGAATATGAATTATTTTTAATTTATTTTTTTTATTTTTTAATTTAAATTCAAATTACTCACCAAATTGCATGCAATCTTCCGGACAATGCACCAAATAAGTGCTCCCGGGGGGCCCCCCGAAGGCCGCGTTGCCTTCCACTGTAGTTGTGCAAGTTATGTCCACTGCGGCGGGCGGGGGGTGCCAGATGTCGGTGTTGGTGGAGCCTGCAGCACTTGAATGAGTTTTTTTCGTTTATTTATTTATTTATTTATTTATTTTATTTATTTTATTTATTTAATTTAATTTATTTGTTCATTTTTTCGCTTATTCGCCGGATTCCGCACAGATCAGCGTCGACATGTCCGTCGCGGAAGAGTCGAAGAAGACCAAACCCGCCGCCGAAAGCCCTGCGGTGTTTCCGAGCAACTTTCCACTTTCTTGAGGATCCAAAATAAACTCCGTGACCTAAAACGCCAAATAAATCCAACTTCCACTTTCTGCATGCAAGCAGCAACTCCAAACCCTAAACCCTCCAAAAACCTCCCGAAAAACCCCCCAAACCCTCCCACAAACCCTCGGGAAAGCCCCCGACCCTGAAAACCCTAAACCCTCGGGCAAACCCTCCGCCTATAAACCCTAAACCCTCGCGAGAGCCTAAACCCTCGCGAAAGCCCAAACCCTCGCGAGAGCCTAAACCCTCGCGAGAGCCTAAACCCTCGCGAAAGCCTAAACCCTCGCGAAAGCCCAAACCCTCGCGAGAGCCTAAACCCTCGCGAAACCCTAAACCCTCGGAAACCCTAAACCCTCGGAAACCCTAAACCCTCGGAAACCCTAAACCCTCGGAAAGGCGGCTCACGTCTTTCTTGAAGTCGAGGGAGTAGAAGACGTTGGCGCCGTTGTTGACTGCGAGCGGCACCGGACTGGAAAAGTCGACTTCCATCAACTGCAGCATTTGCTGCAGCGCAGCCACTTGGCGGCGGCTGTGGAGCTGCAGCGGCTGCAGCCCCAGTTCTGCGCAGGAGTGGAATTCAACACTTTCAGAACTTGCAAAGAATTTAAAAGACTTTGAGAGAATTTAAAAGACTTTAAGAGAATTAAAAAGACTTTAAGACTTCCAAAGAATTAAAAAGACTTCAAGAGAATCAAAAAGACTTCAAGAGAATCAAAAGATTTCAAGAACTTCCAAAGAATCAAAGAGACTTCAAGAGAATCAAAAGATTTCAAGAACTTCGAAAAGATCAAAAATATTTCAAGAGAATCAAAAGGATTTCAAGAACTTCGAAAGAAGCAAAAATATTTCAAGAACTTCGAAAGAATCAAAAAGACTTCACAAAGGACTTTTGCGAAAGAATTCACAAAAGACATTCAGAAAAGACTTCAGAAGAGAATTCCACAAAAGATATTCAGAAAAGACTTTGAGGGAAATTTCAGAAAAGACTTTCAGAAAAGACTTTCAGAAAAGACTTTCAGAAAAGACTTTGAGAGAAGACATTTACACAAAAGACTTTGAGAAAAGACATGCACAAAGACTTCAAGATATTCCCAAGAGACTCAGAGAAGAAGTAATCCAAAAGAGTTTGAGAAAAGAGTTGAAGACACTCCAAGAGATTCAGAGAAGATTTAATCAGAAAGAAAAGAGTAAAGACATTCCAAAGACTCAGAGAAGATTTAATCAGAAAGAAAAGAGTTGAAGACACTCCAAGAGATTCAGAGAAGATTCAATCGAAAAGAAAAGAGTTGAAGATATTACAAAAGACTCAGAGAAGAGTTAATCGAAAAGAAAAGAGTAATAAAGACATTCCAAAGACTCAGAGAAGATTAAATAAGAAAGAAAAGAATAATAAAGACATTCCAAAGACTCAGAGAAGATTAAATCGAAAGAAAAGAATAAAGAGATTTTTAAAGAAGACCCAAAGAAGATTAAATCGAAAGAAAAGAATAAAGAGATTTTTAAAGAAGACTCAAAGAAGA